ATTTTGTATAACATGAACACATTTTGCACTCACCTTTTGTAATGTACTCTAGCAACGTTTATTGCTGCTTGGCTAACATCTTCATGCATAGAAGAAAAACTTCTTGATATCAAGTATTCCCATTCTTTATATGTCCACATGTTTGTGTAAAAAATAAATTAAAATACATTATTAAAATACAAGAAGAATATTTTCAATCAAGAGATGATAAAACTTATGCAATAAGAAGAACTTAAAAAAATTTATGTTTAGAACTTATTTTTAATCTCAAACGAACAGACACGATTGTCGGAAGATATTTTATTAATTCAATTAGATTAGAAATCTTTTGTGTGCGCAATAAACGATAAAGAAAGATGGATATTTGACGTAGATAAAAAAATAAGTAGAGTAAAGAGAGATAAATGAGGAAAGGAATTCTCAGGAACCAGTAACAAGAAACGGCACAATTATGCTAATGATAGAAAGGTAACATAATGAAGAAGAGTAAAAAAATAATATTTTATTTAATTTTTAATATATGTATATTCTCTATAAATGTCACAATTCTGACTATTTTAATCTAATGTTGAGCGTTATTTAGCAATTTTTTATGCGCTATAATAGTTATGACAAAAATAGAATTATACATCAAAATTATATTTTTTATTCTTTGTCTCCTGTTATTGTCTCTTACTCATCCTACTTACGTCAAATATTTATTGTAATCGACATCTATCCAATGAAATTTGACTTTTTCATTATCTAGCGGCACTGTTTCATTTAGGAACATTATATTTGTATTGTTGAACATCCATTTGCTAGTTAAATAATAGAAACGGCCAAATTACGAGCTATTAATAGGTGTATATTTAATAAAGTCAATTTTACAACAAATGTGTTCGCAATATAAAAAACAACGTTGACGTTTCGAGCCTTAGTTGGCTTTCTTCAGAACAAACCGCATAATTCCAATTTAATCGCTTCTTAAAATTTTTAACGCATCAAATCACACTAAAAAGGACAGAAAATTCGCAACCGTCGCAACAAGTAAAAAGTCAAACACCTCAGGTATTCGTCAAGTGTATCCAAAAATCCTAAATGGTAGTAGCTTTATATAAAGCATTGTTTACGATTTTTAGATTTACAACATACATTGCGCGTGTACTTGGGGCGCCTGTTTTTTACCTTTTTTTTTTTTAAATCATTGTAACATAAGTGTTTTTATCAATATGCATGGTATGACTTACGTTATATACAATTGCCGTTTTAAGCGTTATGTAAAGGTATTTAGAAGACAAAGTACTTTTGATTTCATGTAAAAAATAACAAATTATCTCTGTGTATATATAATCTATACTATTATATAAAGGGGAAAAATTTGTTTCATTGTTCAGGGTAATCTTAGAAACTATTGAACAATTTCAAAAATTTTTACATTTGTGGACAGCTTATATCTTTCTGAGTAACATAGGCTACGTGCCATTGTGCTACAATCCAATTTGAAAAAAATATTTGGGACATCTAAAATTTTAAATTCTAAAAGAGTCGTATTTAATGACTTTTCCTGTTCCGATTTTCCTAATCAATCAAATCTTAAAGTATTATATATGAAATAGGGGTAGAAAAAACTGAGAACTATAATAAAATTCAAAAAATTACTAATAATAAAAAGGTTACGGATTTCTGTCTAAAAAAATCTACGTAATTGCTCTAATTTCCTCAAATTTTGTGATATTAAGCTAAATTTTTTTTTTATGGATGAAGTGTCATTAAAGGTAAGTTGGTATTAAATTTAGCAAGAATCGGTGAAAGAATTGCCGATTTTTGCCTAAAAAGTGTATAAGTTATACATGTCATCTTATAAAGAGTATCATTAAAGGAAGGTTGGTATTGAATTTGGCGATGATCGGTAAAAGGGTTTTTTCTTTATAAAGTTTGGAATTTTTTGAGAAATGTCCATGGTTGCTCTAACTTCCGCCAATTTTGAGATATCGGTTTATTTATAATTTTATTATATTCTTCAGTCTTTTCTACCTCCATTTCATATATAATTCTTTTAGATTTGGTTGATTAAGAAAATCTGAACAGGAAAAGTCATTAAGTACGACTCTTTTAAAGAATTTAAAATACTGGAGATACCACTAAAAAAAACGCGTTAATAATAGTACCTCATGGATGACGTTGAAAGCTATTGAAAATATGTGTTTATAAATCATACATTGATGGATAAGATTAGCTAGAACACAAATCTAATAATACAAATAAAATTGTTTAAAAAAAAGACGCCCGGGCAAAGCTCCGGGTAACCAGCTAATATAATATATGAGCAAAAATAGAATCTATCCTCATTTTATTCTTTTTAAATTTATCCATTTATCACTTCATTTAAATCATCAAACTATTGTTTGTTCATTGATCCGTTTTCCATTTTTCTTTGTGATCCAAGCAACAAGAGGCTGAACGGTGGTCCAAGCTCAAAAATATTTTCTCTTTGCCCATATTATATATTTTTATAAATTTGTCAGTAAAATATTATATATTATCCGTATTTCAGATACTCTACTTGATTCTTCTCCGCTCAATGATATCAAATTTCTAGATATGTTATAAAAACTATATCCTACGTATATCTTTTATAAATATCTAATCTCTTCAAAGTATCCTGCAAATTTATCAGATGTTCAGCATACACCGTTCGTCATCAGGATAATCGAACGAAAGTGTTCCTTCCTCACTTCTTCGTCCCGTTCTTGACGTTTATAATCGAAGTCACTCCACTCACAATCAGTTCGTCCTGAATTTGCTGGAGATCTTGCGTTTCGGGCAACAACAATACTACGAAAAGAATACTAATGATGCAGAAACCTCCGAATATCCAGAAGATGACGTACTTGCCATTGAATGCCTCTTGACATTAATAGAGAATTTGGCGATGATGAAGGACAAGCATCAGCAGAAGAAAATCGTTATACTGGAAGCCAATATTATTGCATCTGATGCATTTACTCGGAAATGCGTAATATAATAATCGGTATTTATAATGATATGCTTGTTAATTCAATAAGTAATAAGAGTAGTAAGTAATAGTAGTAATAAGTCTTATTATATTTCCTTTTTCTTTTTCTCTTTTTAAAGAAGACCGTCACAGACTCTCAAATCTCCAGACGTCATTTACTACTCATTATCTTCTTTTATTAATATGATTTACAACTTCTTTGCGATAATATGCGTAACGTTTCCATTTTTGTTTAAACCCTAATCCTGAAGCTTACTCCGTTTACTCTACTTTACAGTCCAATAAAAAGCAAACAATTTGTTAATTATTCCTAATTAAATAAATAATTTATAATAATGCCTCATTAAATGTTAACCAAATCGTCGAAATCGACGAAACAGGCTGATTAAGAAATTAGTAAATTGAGATACAGTATCTAAAAATTTTTTAAAATTTAAATTTTCTCCTAATGACGCTATTCACGTTTACGTCTTTTGAATGTAGAGTATTTTTACCTGGTACCTACTCGTAACGTTATTTGTAGATCATTTCCACGCTCCACGGTAACTCTGGAAGATATAATATTAGCTTTTTTTTTACGTGAGGAAATCTTCAACTACCGGGCTAAGAGCCCAGTAGCCCCCCGGATGTTAGGAGGGAAGACCCCCTCGCCCTTCTGGCAAGGGAGCGAGGGGAGCGTGGGATTCTATACATGCACATTGCCCACGATACTGCACGTATAGCCTACCCACTAAAATCTCATGGGTGTCCTTACCTACGCCTTATGGGGGCGCCCGGGAACGTTTATCACTGCATCCAGACACCCTCAGCATATTAGCATTCTTCCTTTTCTCTTTACTCCTTTAATATACACACATTCATATACATTATACCTACACATAGTACATGGAGAGAGAACTAATAGTTATTTTTTAAAATTTAAATAAAAATCAAGAAACATAGTAGTGTCTTCCAAGTGTACGTGTATAGTCTCAGAACTTTTTGATCGCATCTCGTATATGTATATAATGAAGCTCCGAATGTTACGGTAACGCATACACAAGTGAAATTTATCGATAAGGACAACGAGATATATATAGATAAGAGTGGTAAAAACTGAAAAATATAATAGAATTAGAAATAACCTGATATCTCAAAATTTGCGGAAGTTAGAGCTGCAGCACAGACAATTTTCAAAAAATTTAAAATTTTATAAAAAATGAACCCCTTTACCGATCTTCGCCAAATTCAATACCAACCTTTTTTTAATGATACTCTACATTTAAAAAAATTAAGACAGATATCTCCAAATTTACGGAAGTTAGAGCATTATTGACACCCATTTACAAGGGTGTCCCGTGTACACACACACACACACACACACACACACACACACACACACACACACACACACACACACACACACACACACACACACACACACACGCACACGCACACGCACACGCACACGCACACGCACACGCACACGCACACGCACACGCACACGCACATCCG